GGGGTGATTTCTCCCTTTCTGTCTCTCTTTCTGGTGAGCCCAAACGCCCTATAGAAAAAAACTCTCAAAAAAAAAAAAAAGGCCAGCAGGTGAGGTGGTTAAGGCGCTGGAGCAGGTGAGGTGGTTAAGGCGCTGGAGCAGGTGAGGTGGTTAAGGCGCTGCACTCCCATATGGCTGACCACAGTTTGAGTCCTGGACCTGGTGGCTTACTTTCTTACTCTCTCTCTCTCTCTTTCTCACTCTGTCCCTCTCTGTTCTAAATAAATAAATACATAAAGTTAAATAAAATAATTATTTAAAGTAAATTAAATAAAATAAAATAAACTGATGCCTCTGCTGTGCTGGGTGCCCGTACTAAGAAGAATAAGAACTGCCTTCTAACCCACTGGGCTCCAGATATGCACACCTATATGTACAAAACTCTTTTTTTTAAAGATTTTTTTTTTTTTGCTATACCACCTGCCAACCCCACAAAGCTCTTTTTATTTTATTTTATTTTATTTATTTATTTATTTTTTTTTTTGGAGAGATTTTCACTGTAGGGCGCGTGCGCTCGCCAGACAGACAGAAAGCGAGAAATCACTCCCCAGGGGGGATGGCCACACCGCAATCCCTTCTCCTCCATTCTCCTCTCGGGATCTTGAGCATGCACGCACACGCGCCCGGCGTGAGTTTTAAGCCACCGGGTCCGAGACACGAACCGCGGTCGACTACGTGGGAGTCCAGCAACATAGCCATTACGCTAACTGCTGTTTCCCTATTTTATTTTTTTGAAAGAGATTTTTGCTCTCAAATTTTTGGTATGCGTGCTTGCCAAAGAGACAGAGAGACAGAAAGTGAGGAATTACCCCCAGGGGAGGATGGCCCTGCCGCAATCCCTTCTCAATTCTCCTCTTGGGATCTTGGGCACACACGCACGCACACACGCCCAGCGTGAGTTTAAGCCACCAGGTTCAGGACTTAAGTTGTGGTTGACTACGTGGGAGTCCAGCCATGTAATCGTTATACCATCTGCTGGTCCCAACTCATTTTTTTTAAATTTGCTATAGGGCATGTGTGCTTACCTGGGAGAGAAAGAGGAAGTGGCCATGGGCGAATGGCCACCCTGCAAGCCCTTCATTCTCCTTTCAGGATTTTGGGCACACGTGCTTCGCATATTTTTCAAGCTGCTGGGTCCGGGACTCAAACTGTTCTGTTGGCTATGTGGGATCCAGCCACCTTAACCACATCCCACTCATTTGGCTCTCAAAACCTTCTTTCCGATGGAAAGAAGTAACATAAATATAAGATTGGAACCACTCTGTGACATGAACGTGCACAAACTAAATTTCCAGACCAGCAGCTTCGAATAGGGTAGGAATTTATGAAAAATGCAAATGCAAATTATTGTACCTGACCCCATACACACTGAATCAGAAATCCATTCAGGGGTGCGGTGGAGCCCTGGGAGGAACAGGACAGTGAGGGCTGGGCGTCCAACCACGCCAGGTAACCCTCGAGGGATTTCAAGGGACCTCAGGCTCCTGAGAGTACCCCGTAGCTTACAGTCACTACTCTGTCCCAGGAGGGGCTCACAGAGGGTCAGTGACTTGCCCAGGGTCCTGTGGGGCCAGCACTAGAGCCCAGGTGCTGCGCCCCTGGCCCAGGGCTCTGAACGCTGCTCCTTTGCTGCAGGGCCATCTGGCGAGCCTCGCCCTGTACTGCCCAACGCCCATAACTCCGAGGAGGAGGGCCAAGACTCTGATGTGCACGATGCTTTTCTTATCCGGGAGCAACTTCCTTTCTGGGAATTGGGTGTCTGCTTCTGGGCAAAGACAATGAAATTCATCCCAGGGGCCAGAGGAGCAGTGCTCCTGCCCCCACCCGGATGGGCATCACGTGGCTCCCGGGTTAGCCGTGCAGGAAAATTCCAGCCATTGCACACTCGGCCTCGCACACCCTGGCACACTCGGCCTTCCTAACCCACCTGGAGCATTCACCATTGCACACGCCCTGGCACACTCAGGTTTGGCCAGCTCTCCCGGGGCTGTATTACCATCCTTTCCCTAGCTCCGAGCAGCAGCCCTACCCTGTCACCTCAGGTCTGCCATGTCCCTGGGGCCGCTGAAGTTCCAGGCAGTGGGTGAAGAGGAGGAGGAAGAGGACGAGGGCCTGGATTCTGTGAAGGCACTGACGGCCAAGCTGCAGCTGCAGACCCGGCGGCCCTCATACCTGGAGTGGGCAGCCCAGGTCCAGAGCCAGGCCTGGCGCAGAGCCCAAGCCAGACCTGAGCCCTGGGGGCCTGGGGCCATCTGCGGCTTCAACTCAGTGGACTCTGCCCTCGAGTGGCTCCGCAGGGAGCTGGTAAGTCTGGCAGGGTGGGCAGACTTACACAGAGCCTTCCAGCCAAACACTTCTTGGTTCTCAGACCGTAGGTGTGGGGAGGGGGTGAGAGTGGATCCCACGTCCCACAACTGTCCACTCCTGTGTCTGGGGCTGAAGATCCATGAGTGGACTTGCTCTTTGTCCCCTGGGGGCCTTGCTGAAGAAAGGCCCTACTCAGTGCTGACCTGCTTTCCTGTGCTCAGGGACACATCCTGCCGCGGCCCTCAGCCTGGGGTGGGGAAAGACTGGCCTCTCCTATTCTAGGAGCTGTCTTACCCCAAAGGGTCAGCAAAGTGCACGAGGAGGCGCTGGCCACACGTAGGCAGCACCTGAGGACGGAGTGCGGGGTAGGTGGCTCCAGTCCCACCGAGCCACCCATGCAGGTGTGCGGGCTCCAACCTGGAGATGCCGCTGGGTGACCTGGCTGGCTCCAGGCAGCTACGTTTACTTAACAATGACTCCTTGGTTTGAGAGACAGGGGGGCATCAGGCCAGGGTGACAGGGAGTTTTGGGGGACATAGGTCGCAGCCAAGGCAAAGGCCCAGTGGGCTGGAATGGTGTGGGAGGCTCACGCCCCCTCTCTGCCGCAGCGGGAGATGCAGGCTCAGGACCAGCAGCTGGCAGGGCAGCTGCTGCGGCTGCGGGCCCAGCTGAACCGGCTGAAGGTGGACCAGGCCTGTCACCTGCACCAGGAGCTGCTGGACCAGGCTGAGCTGGAGCTGGAGCTGGAGCCTGGGGCCGGCCTCGCCCTGGCCCCCCGACTGCGGCACCTGGGCCTCACCCGCATGAACATCAGCACCCGGCGCTTCACCCTCTGCTGAAGGACACTGCTGCCCCCAGGACACCCTCGGCCCTTCCCCAGCCCGCCTAGGAAGAGGGAGGGGAGGGGTGCCCAGAGGCTCCAGCGCCTGGCAAGGGAAGACGCCTAGGTCTCCGAGAGCTGAATTCGAAGTCCCAGCACCCTGGCGCCCGCTGCCCAGTGGTGAGGGAGGGATGAGAACCCCCAGCTCCTCAATACACGCTCTCTGCTTCCTGTCGCGGTCTCTGCTGTCTGTGCCCAGACCCCAGGCAGCGGTCTGTGGTCTGTGGCTGGACCAGGGAGGGATTCCATGAGGAGAGAAAGCGTGTGCTGGCATGGAGACGGGCGGACGGCTCCGCGTCTCCCCCCGGCTCCAGCGCTGCCTTTCTGTGACCGGAAATGGGAAAGGACTTAGAACCCCAAGTGCCCATGGGAAGTGGCACCCGCATATTTGGGGCTGCTGCAGAGCGCTAGACCTCGGGGACCTGGACTCCAAGCCGGAGCCCCCGGTTTGTTCTCTCTTTTACGTGTTTTTTGTTTTTTTTTCTTTAATCGCGATCAAGAGCACACATGTGCACGCGTGGGGGCAGAGGAGCGCCGTCCACGGGGCTCAGCCAGGCCGCGGTCCCTTCCCGCTAGTCCTCCAGCCATGGGGTCTCGAGCACCCTGTGAGTGCCCAGGGTCCCTCGTTCAGTCCATTAGGCCTCAAGGGGGTTCCCTAACCTCAGAATCTCACCGCCTCTAAGATGGGATGCTAATTCTCACCCCAAGGCAGCTGGGCATGCCCTAAGGGAGGCAGCGGCCAGTCCCCTGCAGGCTGTGACAGCCCCCCCAGGTCTCGCCCTGCAGCTCTCAGCTCTCACCCTTTGTTTCTGTGCTGCCTCTTTGTCTGACTCTCCAACTCAGGCTTCCTCTTCCCCCACTTCCTGCCCCCCTTTCTCTGCAGCTGAGGTGCACACGGAGGTGCAAACCCCGACAATGCTCTGTGGGCTCCCCTCCCCCCAGGGCCACGCTTTGTTCCCTCCTCCTCCTTGGGGTCAAGGCCCAGTTCTGGGGCCTGAGAGAGGTGCCCTGAGCCCCTCCTCTCACTGGTGCCACCCCCACTTGGCCTGCTGCTTGTGGCAAGTTCTTGCCTCCTGCCTGTCCCAGAAAGCGCTGCCCGTCCGCCGCCTGCACCTGGTGCCGGTATGCTCGCCGGCTTCCCGCCTGTGCAGGGGTGGCGCCTGGCAGGACCGCTGGGAGCTGCGGTCTCCCCCACCTGCCGAAGAGCTAACCGCAGTGCTGCCCTGCTCGGGCGGTGACCAGTGCTGTCCCACCTCTGCCTGCAGCAGGGGCTGGCACTCTGCCCTCCTGACGTGGGGTGGTCCTGCCTACTAGCGGCTGTTGCCATCCCACCTGAAAGGGGGTATTAGCTACCCCAGCCTGCCCATGGGCTCCCGCAAAGCGGGTGTTGTGCACTCTGAGATGGCGTGGCACTGCTGTCGCCCAGGTGTAGCGGCCGTGAGCTGACATCCGCCTGTACCACGCGTGGTCAGCTCTCCTAGCTGCAGGAACATTGTCCTCTCCTCCAACGGAGCAGCCCTGCCCTGCCACGGGCTGAGTCGGATCTCTGAGCCCTCGGGCCAGGGCTGGTGCCATGTGCCTTTGAGGCGAGGCTTTGGGTCTGAGCCTGCTCGCTCCCTGCTCAGGCCAAAGGCTGTCCTTGAGTCCCTCACCCAGGTGCTCCCTGGAGGCAGGAGGGAGGGGCCCTTGAACATCCCCCCTCAACTTTAACCTGCAGGGGCTACCACCCTCAGGGTGAGTAGGGCCTGATCTGGAGATGTGTGGGACCCCCAGGAACTGAGGGGTGGGGGGCTATGGTGGCAGGAAGCTTGGGGTGCTGGAGGCTTGGGGGTGGGCTGCTGGGGCCCGGTTGGCTGGGGAGCCCTCGGGAGGAGGCAGGAAGTCAGGGTGGGACGTGGGCGCGGGGAGGCAGGCGGTGACTAGGACGGCGAGGGGAGCTGAGGCTGTCCGGACACCGGGCGCGGCCAGGAGGACCATGTGAATGGGGCCAGGGGGCTCCTGGATTGGGCAGGTAAGGAGGCTTGGGGATAGGGGCCTAGGGGCTCTAGTGGGAACCTCGACAGCGAGGGCTCAGCTGAGGGGGACCCAGTACGCCGCAGCCCTCAGGCTCAGGGCCTGCTGGGAGGCATACGGTGCCAGTGGTCACTCCTCCTGCCGGGTGTCAAAGCCAGTGGGCATCACCTCCACCATGCTGTCCACCACGACTCCCACCTCATTAGGAACATGTTTCTCGGAGGTCTGGAGCACGGACTTTCACGTATTAGAAAGACCCTCGGAAACCACCAGGTCCAGGCCCTTGGACCAGAATGAGGCTCCTAAGGTCAGAGTGGGCCAGGCCCTCACTGCTCACGGTCCCAGCATGGCAGCGGCAGAGCTGGGCCCTGGGAGAGGGTGAGGGACTAGGCACGACCCTGTGCCCTGCAATGGAGCAGGGGAATGGACAGGCTTGAGCTGGGCAACCCAGGAATCCCAGTTCCTGAGCCAGACCCTGGAGAGCGAGAGCGAGAGCGAGACCCGGAACGCCCCGGACACACAAGAAGTGGTGTTCGCTTCAGCGAGTGGCCGTGCTGGGGAGTGTGGGGGCTCACAGAGTGAGGGCAGATCTGGGAGGGCACCATCGTCCAGGACGGAGTCCTCAGGGCAGACATGTCTGGTCCGACCGGGAAGTCGCAGGCCAACCAAAGGATGGGAGGAAGGAAGAGGGGGCTATTTTTACCCGAACAGGAGTGCATTTTG